CAAGAAGAAACTAGCTTTGGTAGGCATGAGACTAGATCTTAGCAAAGGAAACAAGACAAATGTCAAAGAAGGTCAGCTGTTGCTGTGGCTGGCACTTGTGTGGATAAATTAGATTCCTGAATTTATGTCTTTCTCAGAATCTCAGATGTGGCCTTCTTTGGGAATTAAAGCCACTGCAGATGTAATTACTTGAGGTAGCATAGACCCTTCATCTCATGTGACTGGTGTCACACTTGTAGAGGACAAAGGACCGTATGACACCCCAAATCCTCCCAAAAAGCTGTCCTAGTTTAAAAAGCCAGAAGTACGCTAGGTGTGATGGCACTTGCCTTTAATCCCATATCGTGGAAGTATACATTTGAGGCTACCCTGGGCTACATAGCTATTGGAGGCCAACCTGGGCAACACAGCAAGACCTCATTTCAAAAACAAAACAAAACCACAGTAGGGTGACAGTGCAAGAATGAGGACCAAAAACAGCCTCAGAAATAAGGCATGACACACCCCAAGGTCCTTTTGTATGAACGCGAGTCAAAGACAACCGGCAGGCAGTGCAGAGGGTAAATGATTACTGTCCACTCTAGACAAAAGTGGGTCACCTGACCAGATGGCAAAGAGACCAGGCAGAAAAGTCCTCTCAGGGCTCTGGGCAATGAGCAATGCCCTCCTGACATCCCTGCAGTGGACGATTACCAGGAAGCCCCTCTGAGCTGTGGAATGGATTCTGGGGCGGTGAGGAGCAATGCATTGACTGAGCACTTTCATCTAGGGATAGATGCTCAGGCCTCAGGGACAGTAGATAAACTGTCTACTCTTAAAGTCAGGCCCAAATGAAACTCCAGATGGGGAGGTCAGGCAATCTGCTGCTGTGGGCTCCGGCTGGCTCCGGACCTGCACATTGGTACCTCGTGGCTGAGAGGAAAGCCCAGGAGCTGGACATGGTGCCTCAAGGGGCAACAACATGAGAAGCTGCCCTGGAGAAAGACTTGGTTTTCCAAGAAGCCCTCATCCCATGGGCTTCCCCCAAGAAGCCAAGTCCTTCCACTCAACCTGATCAATTTCCATCTTTCTTTGAAGGCCAGAGACATTCTATAACCCTTCCTAAGCCCAGTCGGTCCACAGCTGCCTTGGAGGGTAGGGAAGAGAAGTCTTCCCAAGGCCCCTTGTCTGAACATAGAAGGGTCTTTTAGAATACTAAAATGCAAGAGGCAGCATGAACTCCTGGCCAAGGAGTTAGAAAAGGGGTCTGTGGTCACTGTCTGTGATCCCATCCAATAAATGCCTCCAGTGCTGGGGAACTGTGGTCCCCAACTTTTGTCACATCCTGTAAACTTCATGTGGCCCTACCCCACTCTGCCAACAGCTGCCTACTTTGCTGACTTGGAACAAACTGATGCCCAAGCTTGCAAAGCTCACACACTGCCTTGGAGCTCAGGACTCAGTGCAGGTTGCAGGCCCTGTGCTGATGAGGCAGCCACATTTGGTTTCTGGAAGGTAAAGTAGCCCAGGAGCTCAGATACATCTGGAGTGTTAGACACAGGACATGGACTGTGAACCTCACCCATAGCAAGGTTTCTCAGAGCATGAATGAGGACCCGAGGCATCAGCCTTTCTGCTTCTGAGCCAGCATCTTTCCCTGCCTCTTAGAAGCTAGATATTTCGGGAGTGGCTGCTTGAGGGTGGGGGTCTGCGCCCCTCAGTCTGCAGCTTCAACTTCCCATCTGTGAAGTGTGATGGTGGCCCATTCTGCCCGCCCTTCCATGCACCTGGGCATGGTGCTGGGACTCTGAGGTTGTCTCCTAGGGAAGATAGACATTCATGTCAGTGTGTGGCATGGGGCAAGATCTGGTTCTTCACAATAGCATTCTCCATGTAGCACTGGGCAAGTCCGCCTAGGGTCACAGCATGTACTCCTGTGCTCACAGAAGCTGCTCCTGCACCAACTATGTATGCTCCTACACTGAGGACACGCCTGTTGTGTGCACCAAGTTCCCACACTCTCGCTGAGTACACATCACATGCATGGCTTGTGCTAATTCTGGCTGGGTCTCCCATGTCTGCCCTAGCCACCATAATGAGGAAGCCTCTCTTGTGGCTCATTCTCCTGGCCCGTCACATCAAACATCCTAATGCTGGCTTTGATCCTGAACAATAGCCTTAGCTGTCCCTGCTCTGACCTCTCTCCCCAGCTTCCAGACAACACCTACCACACACACCAAACTCATTTTAAAACATGTATTTATCTTTTAAGGTAGATGTAGTGGCACAGACCTGTAATCCCAGCTACTCAGGGGGAGGAGGATTGCAGGAGGAAAGCCTGCCTGGGCTATACAGTGGGCTCATGGTTTTACTTTAAAAAAGAAAGTAAAACAGGACAGGTGATGGAGCTCAGTGGGGGCACTCGCCAAGTACAAATGAGGCTCGGGGCTCCAGCTCTAGGAACATACACACATACACATATACACACATACACATATACACATATACACATACACATATACACACATACACATATACACATATACACCCGCGCGCACACACACACACACACGCGCGCGCGCGCACGCACGCACACACACACACACACACCAGGAATACCTCAGATAAAGTGAAAATTTCCTGAGCCAGTCCTTTCCAGCACCTTCAGAGGAGCTGGGCCCATTCACCTGTCTTTTGGACTTTGGCTCTAGGACTGCATTTCAGAACATAACTCAACGATTTCTTAAGCCTCCCAGCTTGTGGGACTCTATGATTACAGCCCTGGAGGCAAATACAGCCTACTTGTAAGTGACCCAGGCATGAGACCACTCAGCTGAAATCTAACCAGCTGGTCCCTCCATTTAGAGAGGTCACACAATGGAGCTGACCCTCCTCATCTGTAGATGCAACCAACCACAGGCCAAAATTGTTTTTAATTCCATCTATACAGAGTATGCACAGACTCTAAAATTATTGTGGGATGGTGTGTGTGTGTGTGTGTGTGTGTGTGTGTAATTGGGAGGTGCCAGAAAGGTTGGAGACAATTCTGTGATGTCATTTCTGCCTTCCTACCTTTATATGCCTTCTAGGGATGGAACTCAAGTCGTCAGGCTGAGGGCAAGCACCTTCTTTACCTGCTGAGTCATCTCACCAACTCTTTTCCTAGACGACAGCATAATGTATTTACACATGTTTTAACTGTTCACATAGTATGCACATTATGCTAGGTTTTATAAATAATCCAGAGAAGATTTAAAATATATGGAAGGGGGCTGAAGAGATGGCTAAGGAGTTAAGAGCATTGGTTGCCCTTCCAAAGCATCCAAGTTCAATCCCCAGCAGCCACATGACAGCTGGCAACTATCTGTGACTCCAGCCTCCTCAGGCACTACATATGCATGGTATACTGACATAAAATGCAGGCAAAACACTGATAAAAAAGATTTTAAAACGTTTTTTAAAAGTGCATGAGAGGATTATATAGGATTGTACAACTGCTACATTATTTTTATATAAAAGGACTTGGGCATCTCTGGGGTTTGGTCTCCATAGTGAATTCTGGAACCTTGTGAAATAGTGAGAGACAACTGTATGTGAGAATCTCAGGGTATGGTCCAGAAACCAGAGGAAGCTCTCTAGAATGTTTTAATGTCAGTGCCAGAACATTCTGCTCTTAACTGGGCTTTGGGGATGCACAGATACTTTTCCTTGGTAGTATTGGCCTCAAAGAACACCATCACACAGGCAATGCCTCAGTCACAGTATGATATTACAGTTTGCATATTACAGGTTCATGGAAAGGCAGAAGAACTGTCTGTCATCCTGGGGACATAGCTTTTAGGCTACTAGGAACAATATCCCACAGACCACATGTACACACAAAATAATAGAGGAAGGGAATTCTTATAATAACTCACAACTCAGAAAGGCTAAAGTGTTTCCACAAATGGTCTTGCAAGACAAGATGCAAACATTCTAAATTAGCAGAGAAACTGGGAAGAAGCTATAGACAGGAGGACACATGCTCCCTGTGGTAGTTTGAGTGTGGAATGGCCCCTTCAGGCTCCCATTTGAACACATAGTCCCCAGGTGTGTGTCTGGGAAAACCACAGAATCTTTAAGAGGTGAATCACTGGGGCATGGAAGAGTTCCTTCCTTCCTCCCTCCCTTCCTCCCTCCCTGCCTCCCTCCCTTCCTCCCTCCCTCCCTCCCTCCCTCCCTTCCTCCCTCCCTCCCTCCCTCCCTCCCTCCCTCCCTCCCTCCCTTCCTCCCTCCCTCTGCCTGGCCCTATTTGCTGTTTAGTCTTAGCTTCCAGGGTATGGATGCAATGCGACCAGCCAGCCTCTTGCTCCCCCTATCGCGCCTTCCTCACCAGGATGGACTGTATCTCTACAGAACTGTTAGCCAAACCCTTTGTTCCTTAAGTTGCTTTTGCCAGGACACCTTACCACAGCCTTGGGAGTTAGCCTCAGCCTTTCTCACTATGACCAACAGTGCTCAAGGGACAATACTCATCTTTAGACCACAAGTAACTTATGAGTCAAAAGGTTGCTCTTGTTCTAACACGCACATTTCCTTCATGTTTCTCCAGTCAATGTGTTTCCTTCCCTGTGTTTCCAGGTGCCCAGGGTCCCAGAGAGAAAAACTAAAGGTCTTTCATAAAGAGTCACAGTCCCTAGACCCCAAACGCCAGGGACCAGAGCCATACCAGGCAGCACACTGGCCTTAGGTGCAGCCCTACCCTGAGCACTAGAAGTGGACATTTGTCCTCCCAAGTCAGACTGTGAACCTCAGGAATTTTCTAGGTCATGCCACTGAGTTCACACCACCGAGTCACCACACTGGAAGACAGTGCTGACAACAAACAGCAGATAGAAATGAATGTCACTGCACAAGAAGGTGTGGCTAGCACCAAGTCACCAGCAGCTACCCTATGGCTCAGATGCTGTGTGGCCGAGTGGTTACAGGGAGGGCCCCTCACAGCCCAGCACCCACCTGAAACCATAGCATCAATGTCTTACTTTTTCTGGACCGTGAGAAGAACCTGATGCCCCCGGGAGAGGTAGAGGGGTTGGAGTTGGGTGAAGACTCTTTGGATGAGGAGCGGAAGATCCCACTGAAGCTCATGCGGCGTGGTGAGCGTGGAGGAGACTCCTGGTAGGAGAATGGGAACACAGTTTTGGGAGATCCAGGGCTTGTCTTGGGTCTCACAGGAGCAGACACAGGGCTGGAGGGCCGAGGCTGGGGGCCCCTGGAGAAGAGTCCTCTGGAAGGGCTGCCTGAACTAAAGGGACTGTCCACCTGCAGAAAGACAGACAAATGGGTGAGGTCACAATGCTCCAGGCACTCTGAACTCTGCCTGCAGTAGACCTATCATCATTGCTCCTTCTTATCCTCACCAAGCAGATAGAGAAGCAACCCTGAGCTCTTCCACCTGTGCCATGACGCCCAACCCTGGGCTCGTCAGCTCTTGTCCTGGAGCCCCCTGGCCACCCTGTGCAACTGCCTAACAGAGCCGGGGGTGGTGGTGGTGGTGCAGGGAGGCAACATGAAGGTGAGGAGAAGATGCCTAGTGCCACTCCTGCTTCTCTGGCCTGACCCATTCACATCTCTTGACTGGTCTCATATTGGCTTTTGTTCCTAAAGCCTTTCACTAGTCCCTTTCCAGATCTGATGGCATGACTGTGGTTCTTTGTCCTCCCCCCACCCCGCCACAGGAGAAAAAGCATGAGCCTCTATGGTCCAGAATGCATACTAGACCTTGGGCTCACTGGGAAAGATGCTGGTATGAGGAAGTGACAGATTTCTCTCCAAGAACTGTGGCATTTGAATGGCTAAAGTCACTGGCAGAAGTCAGGAGAAGACCCCAGACTTCAATGATGACTCAAAAACATAGCCAGCTTGAAAAACTACTAGGCCCCGCAGCTTTAAGCCCCAGCTGCAGCTCACAGGCATTCAGTTTTGACAGTATGAATGTATTCAGGAGCTTGTTTCCTGCAGGCTGGGTTTTGACCTCAGCTCTTCCCCTTACTGTGCCAGCATGCTCCTTGGTCTTACTGCCTCTGTTTCCTTCTTTGTGGCACAAGGACAGTCATATCCTCAGCTTGTAGGGCTGTTTGAGTGTTCACATGTACACACTATCGCAGGGACTGATTTACAGCAATTACTTGTTTCTATTGTGACACTGAGGCCAAAGGGACCTAAGGGAACCCCAAGTCAGCAAGAGAAAAGAAAGTAACTGCCATAGGCTCAGGGGGAAAAGATCAAACCCTGGAAATGCTTGCTATACACTGGTAACCAGGGTCATGCTAAGGGGTGGGGTGGGGGGGGTCCTCTTGTGGATGTGTGGACCCACCAGTAGAGGGTGCCCCTGAGCTTCAATATCAGGCTTCTCAAAGACTATGATGCTCATGTGGGATGCTCCTTCAGGGACCAAAAGGCACCCCTCCACATGATTCTCCACTTGAACCTAAGGAACTGGTGTTGTCACATGTAGGCATGGGACCCACTTGGTGCCAACTCTCCTGAATAGTTTCTGAGGCAGACACTGGTGTGTAACCAGGATCTTATAACTGAGCCACCTCCTTAGAAAGAAGTTTGGGGGCTGGAGATGTAGCTCAGTGGTTAAGAGCACTGGCTACTCTTCCAGAGGTTCAGGGTTCAACTCCCAGCAACAACATGGAGTTCACAAGTGTCTGTGACTCCAGTTCCAGGGGATCTGACACCCTCCCACAGGCATGCATGCAGGCAAAGCACCAACACACAGAAAATAAGAATAAATAGAAATGTTATTTCAAATTAGCTCAGATCAGCTCCCCTCCTACTTATTATGAAGATCAGTGTGATTCCTTGCCTCTTCAATTCAACCACCATCCCATTTGCCTATGGGACTCAGGATTGCTGCTGAGAATAACTTTTAAAGCAAGAGGTTCTTCATGCGGTGGGTGGGATGTCATGGGGGTAAGGAATAGGGAACCAAGAGACAGAAACCACACACACAGGACATAGAAGGTGATAGAATGAGCAAGGATTTGGACAGGGACCTGAGTATGAGTCCTGCACCATCTCTGTGGATGGATGAGGGAGCAGGCCCTCTGCATCTGGACCTTCTCTACACTATGAGGATGCTAGACTGCTTTATGGACTGCAAGGATGACAGGCTGTAATATACAGGAGGGATGTTTAGCATGGTTTCTGGTACACAGGTAGTCCTTCATAAATGTCTGACCAGCAGCCAAATCACCATGCAGTAAAGAGTCCTTAATGGAGAAGGGACTTGTAGTCTGGAAAAGGAGGAAGGCTGAGTTTCAAGAATAGCTTAGTTATGAGAGCTATAGGGTACCAGGACTTGCTCCCTGACTGTGGGAGACCATGGTGGCTCCAAACCTAGGCAGGCACCAGCTTCAGTTATACATGTGGCTCACCATTCTTCATCACCGGATGGCACTCTGTCTAATGGCAGAAGGTGCTAGCTGGGACCATAGCAGACATCACAAAGCTGATGCGTGTTCTGACCTCAAGGCCTTTGGCTTTAACCCTGATGCTACATACCTATAACATTATATAAATGTCCAGAGGACCAAAGAGGCAAGGCCAGGGAGAGAGTCCAGAGAGGGGGTCAACTCTGGAGCCCCTAAAGACCCTGACACTCTTACTATGCTGTGTAGCTTGCCTTGCACTTGGCCTGATGAGGTGGTGGTTTACAAGACAGATACCAGCATTCAGCTCTAGAGAGGTCAAAGGCAGATGGGGAAGCAGTAGGCATCCCAGGAGATGACGGAACAAGGTGAAACACCAGCAGCATGAAGTAGATGAAGGGATGCCCAGGACAGGCAAAACCACCTATCATGGGGACCCCAGATCAGAGAAGGTCCTGAAGTCTACATGGCTTTGGACAGGATGATGGGCAAGGGAGAGGAGACGTTCTGGAGTGGGATCTGAGAAGGAGCCAGGTCTCAAATACATGTGGCTAGCACATGATCTACCTAAGAACTCAGAAAGAGAGTTGAGCTAAGCCTCAGATACAGAGGGCTAACATATGATCTAACCAGGGATTCACTCATAGGAGGAGCTGAGTCACAAAAGACTTGAATCTTTTTTGATTGGCAAGGGAGTCCCCAAAACCCCACTAGGAATTAGAGAAGGAAGCCCCAGAAAACAGACCTTCTATTTCTTCCCTTAAAAATGTCCAAAGAGCAGAGGATGCTGGTCCTGCCTGGACTCTCCTACAGAGACCTGCCCCTGCAAACCCCATCTTTCCCTGCCTGTTTCCTGGAAGGGGCTGGCAGGGAACTGCAGATCACAGGTGCCTCTAGAGCCACCAGGGATGGCCATGCCCAGGCTATCAGGCTAGCTGAAGCAAAATGATACTCTGCTCAACATAACTGCATGACTGTCTGGGTGTGGGTAAGGCTCCCCAGTGTGTGTATGGCTTCACAGGAGCTAATGGAGAGGAGGCAGAGTTTCCCAGACAGGGCAAACTCCACATTTGCCAGGGAACCACTAGGCGGGAAGCTAGTGCTCTGGTCTTAGGTGGGCTTGCCATCCCACCAAACAGAAGATCAGGTAGCAGCAGGTGAGAAAGTGAGGGAAGAGCCTAATGGGGGACTGACCAGGAGGGGTTAGCAAGGCAGGGCATCCATGCTCTTGAAGATAGAGGGAAATGCATAGAACAAAGGTGAAAGGAGCCAGGAAGGCAGTTGGGGAGAAGAGGTCCAGGGCACCTAAGGGCTAGCCTTGGAGTCCAGCAATGAGTCCAGCTTCTCAGGCTAGAAGAGCCGAAATTGGGGCAGCTCTGCTAAATTTCCAGGACTCCTCCAGTGGCTGACCTCCAGAGAGAATCTGAGGTCAGACTCCAGCCAGCAATGGATAGAAATCAAGTTATGTCTGCGGCCTTGCCCAGAGGACACTCCCTGTGAGCGAGGGAACGGTACATGGGTGTCTTCCCCACATGCACTGCCAGTGCTGACTGTCACTTGCATCCCCAGACCTGCCCTTCCAGAACGTGCTGGATTGCAGGCACCTTCTGCGCCTGTTCCTTAGTGATGCTGTCTAACCCTCAATCATTTTGGCAAGCACAAGTCTGGCCCTGGTTGGTCAGTGGGGAGGCATGTTTAAAGACAGACTGTCTTGTCTAAGGCTACTTGCAGACTGTTAGAAGAGAGAGCTGCCAGGCAGTGATGGCAGGATCAGTGCACAGAGGAAACCCAATCATTTGTTGGGTGTGTGCTGGGCCATTTCACAGACTTGGCTGATCACTGCAGTGCGGCTCATTCTTGGCTAGCTCTGACTTGGTAGCTATATACTAGAGCCACAGTCAGTACCCCAGAGCCACAGTCAGCTGAGTAGAGTGCCACACACATATGTTATGATGACAAAGAACTGCTCCCTCTTAGGGACAGGGTACAAGGAAGTTGGTAGAGAGGGCTAGACATAGGTAGGAATCTAACTGATGTTCTCTCCGGTGTTTTCATTTTGAGCAAGGCCAATGCCACGAAGAACTGAGTAGGGCCAGAGGCATGCCTTTCTGGGGCAAAGTGGAAATTGTTCTGGATGCCAGTCACTTCACTATCTCCTGAAAAGGCCTCTTTGACTGTCACCCACACTAGAGTCCCCAAGGACTGTGAGACAACAGCGCTGCAGGTACCCCCAGGCCTAGGAGGAGTTGCTCTCTGGGGGTGGGGGCTGCAGTGCCCATGGGCGCTCCCAGCTCCCAGCTCCCAGCACCAGCACCTCTTTCCATCACACCAAGCTGCTCAGGAGAGGCCCTGCCTCCAAGCTACAGCCATCTGGAGACTGCTGATGAAGGAGAAGAACATGTTCTACAGTCCCTGGCCCGTATAGCACCTGACACTGTAAGACAAGCCCCTCCTCCTGGGCATTGTCCCTCACCAGGTCCACAGGATGGGTTACGCCAATTCTGAGCAACTGTTGGAGGAAGGCAAGAAAATATTTCCCTCTCAGCTGACTTTTTAATGCTACCCACAGCCTCTCTGAACTTCTGGGGCTACCAGGAAAGCCCCACCTCCCTCCAAGCATCTCTGCCTCAGCCTCAGTTCCTACTGGGTTTTCCATGCAGGAAAGGCTATGTGGAACATAACAGGGCAGAGGCCAGAGGCCAGAGGATCTGACCTAGCTACACTACAGGCACCGAGCTGGATGGCCAGCCCAGGTCCCAGGCCATTTTCTGACAGTCTTTCTGGCTGGGTCACAATAACTGCTAATAAGGTTGTTTGGGTAGGGCAGGGTGGGGCGGGGGACTGACTGCCAAGTGAGCCCCATGGGCCTAAACCAATTTGTTGATTCAATTGTATGTGATTCAAACACTCAGAGAATAGGGTCCCTTTTTCCAGGATAAGAACTTGTGCCCTAACCCCAGGCTGGAGAGTACCTAGTAGCCACTCAGAGATGCTGCAGCTCCCCCACCCCCATGGTCATTTTTTGTGCCTGGGTTAGCGGGTGATCGGGTGCTACTTCCCAACTACAGGGGACATCTGCATGCTGCCTTGACCCCCTTCTTTGATGGCCATAGTAACCTCTCACCTGCCACCACCACCACCTCACCCCTCATTCCTGGCCTGGCTCTGCATGGCTCTGCATGGCCAATAACCTTGGTTAAGTCATGGTTTCTTAATGGTTGTGAGGGAGGGGAAACAGTGAGTTAAAGAGAGAAGGGCAATTGAATGCAGTCAGGGAACGGGTCAGAGGAGAGACTGCCTCACCTCCAAGGCCCATGGCACAGTATAGGGCAAACTCCTGTCTGTGGTAGTGATAACACCAAAGGACACAGCAGCCTCAACTTTACTGCTTTTAGCTTCCTCTTTGCTATCCCAGCACAGCTCAATGCCCAACCTTCACTCACTCTGGGGACACTGGTGATGGCAGTCAGCTCACAGCAGGGGCAAGAGGAAGGAGGGGAGCCCAGAGGACTCAGGGATTAGAGCAGCCAGCAACACAGGAGGCATGGTCCTGTGTCTCAGGATGGCCCAGCCACGCCAACCCATATGCTGGTGTGAGCCCCATGAAGTAAACCTGGAGGATGTCTCAGACTCTGCCTGCCTTGGGCAGCTCAGGTGGGGTGGTGAGTTGCTTTGAAAAGAGGAGACTTACCTTCCGAGAAGAGTGCTTTTCTGAATTCTCCACATCTCCATCCAGGAGTGGCATGGCAAAAGAGCTCAGGTCCTGGGAGGAAGAGAGCACAAAGTTAAGGCTATGGCCCTTGGGGCAGGTATGGATGGTCTAGGAGGGTAACACCACCCTTACCCAGCCAGTAGGGAGAAACAGCCATAAGGATCCTGGTAGGAATAAATATGCTAAAGAGATACTGTGTTCCTTTGGCTACCAGCCTACCAAAACAATGGAACTGAGAAATTGGTATTTCTTCAGGAATCTCAGCTTTCTGAGGAAAAGGCTATAAAGCTTTGTGCCAGCCTTATTGCCAGTTAAGACATTTCACATCATTCTGACAAGCTGTGAGAACACCTTGCAAAAACGCACTGGAGCCAAGAGACAGTGATGGGTGGACCACCCCTTAACCAAGACTCTGACTTATGCAAACCCCTTGCTCTCTACTTAAATCTTGAGTCTCATGCCAAGACACAGGAGATGGGAAGGGAGGTTCCTGGGCCTCTTTTTCTCCATAATGTGGCCACACTGAATGAATACTTCTCTGCTTTTCACTATGGCTTTTCTATTTGACTGGCATAATGAAGAAGGTCTGAGTCTAGGTTAAGGAAACCAGGCTTAGCCACCAGCCCTAACAACTTCAGCAGCATAGGGGATGCTCATCTATATCTCCATTCCTTTCCAGAACATCACGAAGGATGTCCAACAATAGCCACCCCTACCCTAAGCAAGCCAGAAGGATGACAAAGCCACAGACCAAAGGGATAAAAAGATAAGAGTCAAGGCAGGAAGACTGAAAGAGTAAGCAGCCTATCTGGGGATGATTTGGGCAGTAGCTGATGGACAGAACTTTTCACTTGACATGAAACATGAGGCTTCTTTGAAGAGGTCCAAGGAAGTGTGTCTCCTGGAAAGATGACCACGCTTGTGGAGGGTGGTATTGGAGCAACAGATGAAGCTTAATGGAAGTGGTGGAGATGAATGGGTGTGGGGTTATAGTAGTTTCTTTTCCTATTGCTGTGATTAAATGCCCAGACAAAAGCAACTTCACTGAGAATGGGTTTCTTTTGGTTCATAGTTTGGGTACAGCCCATCAAGGGAGCTGAGTCAGCAGGAGCTTGAAGCAGCTGGTCACACACATCCACAATCAGGAACGGAGAGTCATAAAATGCAAGCTTGTTCTCAACTCACCCGGGGAATGGTCAGCCCACAGTTAAGATGGGTCTTCAATTAACCTGATCAAGATCTGGTCAAGTTGACAGTTAACACTAACCATCACAGGGGTCTAAAGTAGAATGTGGAGGGGCTGGTAGCTCATCGCTGGGTCAGGTATAAGGCAGAACTGTCACTTTGCCTCTCTAGCCCTGCTATTCCTGTGTCCTGCATCTGACCTTGGAAAATGCCTGCACAACAGATGGGACCACCTGGCCACACTCAAGTCTACAAAAATCGGCATCTTTAACACTTCAATTTTGTTTATTAAAAATAACTGGAGTAAAGTACATACAATAAAAATTATCGGGCCTGTTTATGTGTGTTATGCTGGAAGAATGAACCCAGGATCTTATATTTGCTACACAAATACTGTACCACTAAGCCATCCCAATCCATGGTTACTTAAGGGTAACCATCTTTAATTCAGTGGTGGTTAAGCATACTTGGCATTGATTTATATCCATCACTATAATTGTCATGAGTGTGCTCTGTCAGAAACAGACAAGAACATTCTTTCCTACAAAGTCACCATTTACCAAATAACAATTAATTCACTAGCTATTTTAGTTTCCTTGGTTGGAATTTGTCAAGTAGTCCCCATTTTCTTCATAGCCAGCTAAGACAAACATGGGTTCTTTTATTCCAATCTTAACTGTTAATATTAATTCTCAGCTCACACATTATGTATCACACAGTAAATATATCTGTGTGTACATACACATGTAGGTAACAGAATACCCATGAAGGGTTCAGAACTCTGACAGAGTTCAAGGAGTTTCAAGGAGGCCGTGATGATAAGGGTGGGAAGGGAGGCAGTGAGATCAGATATGAGCCCAGGCAGAGGCAGCATTTGCAGATTGCAGCCAAGTCACATGTCAGAGCTGAACTGAGCCTCAGAGTCAAGTCAAGCTGCAGAAGTAAGGTATGAGATGCTGGGCAGCAAGCAAAGAGAGAAGTAGGCTCAGACACACAAACGCTTCATCAAAGCAGGGACCAACCCAAGCTGAGGTCTCAGGCAGTTTGGAGTTCTCTGCCTATTGCTCACTCTCTCTCTCCCCCTCCCTCTCTTTGCGCGCATGCATGCACACGCACACGCGCGCACACACACACACACACACACACACACACACACACACACACGCTGGTGTTGAACACTTGATGCTAAGTTGGTGATGCTATTCGGGAGATTTAGGAGGTATGGCCTTGCTGGGGAAGCATTTTTTTTTTTTTTTTTTTGAGAGTTTAACGGCTCCCATCATTTTGAGTTTCTCTCTCTATTTCCTGCTTGTGGTTCAAGATATGAACCTGCTCCTGCCGCCATGTCTTCCTGCCTAACAGACCCCATCCCTCAGAAGCAATGAAACAAAATAAACTCTTGCTTGTTTAAGTCGCCTTGGTCATGGTGTTTTATCACAGCAATAGAGGAGTGACACAGGCATGCACACATGCACCTCACCTGCTCAGATGACAGCTTGGTGGGACCATGTCCCTCAGTTTGGGGTGTTGGATGAGTTCTCTCACACCTGGTTTTTCTGACAGGATTTCAATGCTCTCATGTGCTAATGTGGACTCCATTTACTTTGATAAATTGGTAGGGAGGTATCTTTTAGGAATCTGTCATTTATCAGTCTGTGCCGTGGGTGGTACTGGACAGATGGTGTTGTTTGCATGCCCACCAAGCTTTGGAGTAATTTTCCACCCTTAAAATGGAGTCTCTCAGGGAGAGGCACTGCCTGAAAACCATTGTTCTACATAGTACAGAGTAACCGAGGGCAGGGTACAATCTGATCGCGACATATCTACCTCCAGAAACTTCTCATCTCTCTAAGAAGAAACTCTGTAGTCATCAACACCAAATCTTCATTCCTCCCTCCCTAACCCCAGCACAGTCATTTGTAGCTCTTGTCTCTATAAATCTGACAGCTCTGAGAAAACGCTATTGTCTGCCTGTGGCTGGCTTATTTCAGTTAGCACGGTCCTCAAGGGTCATCAGGTGTCAGTCTGTGAGGTGTGTACATTAGTACATCAGGATCTCTCTTACCTCTTTCCTTTTTAAAGTGAATCCTTTCCAGTTCATGGCAGACCACATTTTGCATTTTGTTTATTTCATCTATAAGTTGATGGGCACCAGCGCTGCCCCAGCCTTGGGCTCATGCCCAATTCACAAGTTGAAATCATGACCACCCCCTCCCCCAAGATTTCAGAAAGGAGCTGTGTTTGGAAGCGGGCTCTTTAAAGATGTAACTAAATTGAATCAAGATCATGAGCATGCTAAAGGAGATATCAGGACATGGACACACACAGGGATGCACACATGAGGACCAGGCAGAAAGCCAGGAGGGTGGGAGGGTGGGAAGGAGGAAGGGAGGTATGTGTGTGTCTGTGTGTGTGTGTGTGTGTGTGTGAGAGAGAGAGAGAGAGAGAGAGAGAGAGAGAGAGAGAGAGAGAGAGAGAGCTCAGAGCAATCCACTTAACCTCAGACTTCTGATCTCCAGACCTGTGAGAAAATGAATTATACTTTGTTGTGATGGCCCAGTAAACTGAGAGAAAAGGCCTAAGAACATCTCTGTGTGACTTTGCTTTTGATTCTGTCTTAGTGAATGTAGAGAAGCAGAACTGCTGGGCTCAGGGTGACTCTGTGCTGTTATAGCACATTAGTATACTGTTTGCTACAGTGGTGGTACCATAATACTCTCCCATTAACAGTACACAAGTTTCTATTTTCTTTGTGTGTGTGTGTGTGCATGCCTACCTATCCATCCACCTATTTATCTATCTATCAACCATCTATCTAACTCTCAGTCCTGGGGATTGCACCCTTGTGCCTGTTAGGCAAGCACTCTATCCTGAGTTCTGTCCCAGCAGCAATTTCCCCACATCATAACCAACCTTTGTAACCTTCTGCTATCTCGGGCATAGCAGACATCCACTAGGGGTGAGGTGGTGTCTTGAGCTATTCACTTGCACTTCTCTGGAGCCCAGCAGCGTTTTGCTTGCCACTGGGTGGCTTGTTAGTCTCTGGGGAGAGGTCTGCTTAGGTCCTTACCAGTTTACAGTTGGATTGTCTGTTGTTAGGCTACAGGAACCCTTTATAAACCCTGGACCCTAAGGTATCTTCTCATTCCGTGTGCTGCTGCTTCAGTCTTTTGGCTGTGCCTGTAGATGCGGAAATAGCTCTAATCTGATTTAGTTGCTTTATCTATTTTCCTTTTTGTTCCATCTCCTTACAGTGTTGTATTCAAGACATCACTGTCAAATCTAGAATCTTGAGGCTTTTCCTAGACACTCTTTTCACTAAAGTACATTTAGGTCTCTGATTTCATTTAGAATTGTTTTTAATATGGTATCAAGTAACTGTGATGCTTTGTTCTTTTGCATGTGGGTGTTGAGTTTCTCAGGTGCTGCTTGTTGAAAATATGGCCCTTTCCCCACTGAAGTGTCTTGGCACCCCCATCAAAAGTCAACTGCAGGCTAGAGAGGTAGCTCAGTGGGGAAAGGTGCTTGCTGCCAAGTCTGATGGCCTTGGTTTGATCCCTGGAGCCACATGTTGAGGGGAACCTGATTCCTGCAAGCTGTTCACAGACTCCCGGTGTGCTATGGCATGCACACACACACACACACACACACACACACACACACACACACACACACAAATAAGCGTAAAAATATAATTTGATCATGTCTTAGGGTGTCCATTGATTGCTCTGGGTTTCTATGTAGCTTGGGGATGAGAAGGTTTATTTTATCTTACAGTTTATTTCCATCACAGAAGAAGTCAGGACAGGAACTCAAGCCGGGCAGGAACCTGGAGGCAGGAGCTGATGCAGAGGTCATGGAGGGGT